CCTCCGATTCCTAACAGTAACTGAAACATTGAGCATCTATCTATCTATCTATCTATCTATCTATCTATCTATCTCTCTCTCTATCTCTCTCTCTCTGTATATATATATATATATATATATATATATATATATATATATATATATATATATATATATATATATAAAAGTTTGATTAAAAGAACCAAGAACGTCTGGCCGTTTAAGTTTTTATTATAATTTTTCCACTTTTCGAATGTGTTGAACATTGAGTTCGAAGTTGTGTTAAACTGTCCGAAGTCCATATTTTGTCATTTCTGTATCGCGGTCTTTATCAAGAACCTATGTAATGTCTGTGTGATAGTTAAAATTCCTTTGTCAAAACCTGGTAATCTTTGTGAAGCTGAACGTTTGAATTGGTCGTGTGTATCATCATGTATAGCGGCTATTGGGAACGATGGTTCACAAAAAGAAAGCAAGTTATTTTATTTTATTTTTATTTTTATTTATTTCTTTTAGTCGATTTCGCCTCATGCAAGGCAATAAAGCCACTGAGACACAAGGGGTTACTCTATGTGGAAGAGTTAGAAACAGTAACATTGCTAAGGAGCGAGAACATATATAATCAGGAGAGCAGTAGACAACGAGAGACATTGTTTTTTTTATTTTTGCAGATTTAAGTTCGGTGAACAACTGTTGTGAGACCGTAACATACCTACAACATGGACTCTTCCAGGACTATATGCGATATAATACTCCGAGAGAGAGAGAGAGAGAGAGAGTATTCTAATACCGTAGTATCAGCCGCGTACGACTACCAATTTTGGACACTAGCACATAGTAAGCTCCGCTTACACTTACACTATCTTTGTAATCTTTTTGTTTAATATATCTTTCTTGCCTCTAATCCGTGTTCCGTGATTTCCTTCCGTGGTCCCAACTTTGGGACCACAACAACAACATGGAGATGGAAGTGCGTTCCACAAAGGAGATGTGTGAGAGAAGAAACTGCTAGCATAGAATTTACGGTTACATCTAGCCAAATCAACTCTAAATTGGTCATATCTCGAAGTTTTGGTACAATACCGAAAAGGTCATCCGAACAAATACACTGAATGTACTTATAGGCGAGTCAAAAGGGAGGCGACCTTACGTCGGTGACTGAAGAGATGTTATTGAAAAAAAAATTACTCTTTAGTATTTCAAGATATTTTTGTGTAATTTTGGTAACTATATGTGTTTTGTTTAATACTGTTTATTATAAAACAGAGCATTTACTTAAATATTTGTATCTATAAAAAGAATGTATAAACATAAAAATGTCTTAAAAATAATTGTCGGACTTTGTCCATTTCATAATGTGTGACGTCATTTTGTTTACATTTGATACGTCATGAGCAGATATGAATGTACGTGAGAGATTCATGGAAGATTGAAGTTTAAATACAGTAAATTCGACCTTGCTAACCGAACTCTCCTTCCTGGCCAAATCGGTAAAGGCACGTCAAGCTAAATGATGGTTCCGTTGGAAGACGAATATTTTCTGTGAAAATCTCTCGGACTTTCAGGCCGGTAAATGTTGTTTAATACTGTTTATTATAAAACTGAACATTTACTTAAATATTTGTATCTATAAAAAGAATATATAAACATAAAAATGTCTATATATATATATATATATATATAAAAAGGCGAAAAAATTTATCATTGAAAAACCCAGGCGACACGCGAAAAACGGACGTCATTTTTTTGTGAGCCGGCACCCCTACCTCGTCTTAACCTGATTTTGAAAGTTACTTATATTTGATATATAAGTTGTCTAGGAAAATTAACACCAAACCGACTATTATGAAGATGATGGAATTTTCAGTAACCTTAGAAGTTCAACATATTAAAATTGTCTGTGCTCATGATTGAACTAAACTTCTTAATTAGGTTATTCCAAAAATAGCTTGATAATAGAATGGAATTAAATTTAAAATTTTGGTTTCTATTTTGAAAAAAATGATGATTCCGTGCAGCGATGGGACCATAATATTAAAATAGTATATATATATATATATATATATATATATATATATATATATAACTCGACCATGTCTCTCACGCCATTCCTCACCACCTTCTATGTCAACATATATAAGCTTAATACTGCCCGTCAAAAGTGTAAATTTTAAATTCCTTTTTCGTTCACCTTTTGAAAGTGAAGTCTGAAGATCCAGAGAAAAATAAAATTATCTGCTAAAATAAATTATTACAAATGTAGCCTTAAAGTGGTTTGTTTTTCTTTAAATTAAATTATATAAGTCAACGTCGGACATTTCGGTCTATTTTAGACCATCTTCAAGATATTTTGTAACGTGGAGGACTTCAAGCTTGTATGAAGATATAAGAACCTATTGATCTCTGCGTATTCCTATATCAACGGAAGGGATTTCTTGAACTGTTTATATAAAATAGTTCAATCGACTTTTTTAATATTTTAATATTTGAAAATCATCTTCGAATACGTTTTCACAATATCGCCCACGTGACGACGGCGTGAACATATTTAAACGGAACGCTGATCTTATATAAAAATTTCAGTTATCTGTTTGGATTAGTTGTGCTCTTATGTCCATCGTCTTTTGTGTTAAATTTTTATATGTTCTAATGTTAATTATGTTTAAATAAAAATGTCCATGAAGATGGTCTTAAATAGACCGAAACATCCGACGTTGACTTTATATTAACATTAATACAGCATAATTGCATATTAAGATTTTTTTTGTTTGTTTTTATATATATATATATATATATATATATATATATATATATATATATATTTATATAGTGATATTGCGATGTGCTGCTGTCGTTTGACATTTATAAAATAAGTTACTCAAATTAGTAGCTGTTATTGGCCTTTACAGTATTGGCAGCGGCTTCTTATATCCATAGCTATTTGGACCTGCATGCGCATCTTGATTGCTATACACACAAGTTTCGGCCATTGCATACACGTGCCTTCTTCAGGGGTCCAGCGTACTTGATCAACTCCCTGGAATTATGAACAAGGTCCTTTATTCATTTTACGGGAGTAGATTGTTCTCATCCCGTTTTAAATGCTTAGTGGGGGAACTAAATCTCTGATGAGGAAGTTCTAATCAGACAGGTTCCGCCAACCCCATTTGATTTGCTATTCGGAGGAACAAACATCCATGTATGCATCCGTGAACACCAAAGTCTTAACGTCAAATCTCAACTATATCCTCATAATCTTCTCTTCGTTCTATCTACACCTGTCTCTTCATACCTTTAATAATCCTCTACCTTGAGTGTCTTTTGAATTCTGCATTTATACAAAAAAAAAACAAAAACAAAAAAAACAAAAACTGTTAAACCTTTTGGCCGTATATTTAAACTATTTACATTGTTCAGATTTTGTCCTCATCTTTATTGTCCCATTTACAATGTTTTGGCTGTTGTACTCTTCGGCCTTCTACAATATCTGTCTATATTTATTAGATGAGGTATTGTAACTATTTAGACTATTTACATTGTTCAGACTGTTGTCCTCATCTTTATTGTCCCATTTACAATGTTTTGGCTGTTGTACTCTTCGGCCTTCTTCAATATCTGTCTATATTTCTTAGATGAGGTATTGTAACTATTTAGACTATTTACATTGTTCAGACTGTTGTCCTCATCTTTATTGTCACGTTAACAATGATTCAGCCAGTATATGCTCCAGCCTTTTTCTGGTGATGGTATTTTGTAATTTCTGAACCAATCGCTTTATAAATAGTATAATATAATATATATATATATATATATATATATATATATATATATATATATATATATATATATATATAAAGTGGAGAAGTTTTTTGTATGGTACATTTCCTCACTTACGACTTTGTCAGACTAGGTTTGTTTAAATTGGCGTAACTGTACATGAATGAGAGATGCAGGGGAATTTTAAATTTAGAAAAAATTAATAATTCTTTTTTTAAAAATTATGTTTTGGGTATACAATCCAGCCAATTACATATAGATTCTTTTTCTTTTAGTTTCCATCATTTTTGTTATTCAATATCCCATATTGTGATGACAGAAGATCTGCCAAGAATAGGGACATGGCGTAAGAAACTGGATGTAAATTTGCTCTGGATAAAATAGCAGTTACAGCACTCACTTTCTTTGTTGTACATATTTCCTCTAGAACTTTTCTTTATACAAAATATATATATATATATATATATATATATATATATATATATATATGGTTATCCCTTATATATATATATATTGTCGGACCTTGTCCATTTCTTAATATATGACGTCATTTGTTTACATTTGATACGCCAGAGCAGTTATGAATGTACGAGATTCATTGAAGATTGAAGTTTATAAGCAGTAAATTCGACCTTGTCTACCGAAAAGGTTCTTTGTAGCCCAGAGGTAAGGCACGTCAGCGTATATGACGGTTCCGTATAGGATGCAGGTTCGAATCCTGTCAAAGAACGAATATTTTCTATGAAAATTTCTCGGACATTCAGGCCGGTAAATGTTATTTAATACTGTTTATCTTAAACAGAGCATTTGCTTAAATACTTGTATCTATAAAATAACAACGTTAAACATAAAAATGTCTTTAATAAATATATATATATATATATATATATATATTGTAATGGAGTGTCCCACACTCCCTATCGCCTATGTGGACTGACTATATCAGTAGCTATATATAGTGAGCACAGGATATACCTGGGGGCTTACTTCGGGAATTACTTGGAGATTCGTCGCCAGCTAAGCTATACGAACTCTCTGCATTCGGATAGAGAGGAACCCAGACAAGGCTATGCCAAAGGGCAAGGATACCCCACTTTAAATTCGGCCTTGTGCCACATCTAATCGGGTGGGGCGGTTGGCAAATATCCTTGCTTCGGGAATTAGTTGGAGATTCGTCTCCAGCTAAGGTGGTCGAACTCTCTGCCTTCGGGCGAAGAGGAACCCAGACGAGGCTATGCCGAAGTGCAGAATCTCGTCTGGGGTGGTAGACAGCTACTCGACCCCGTTTTTTACGGGGTCGACGGGGAATTTTTGCCCAAGCTTACAGGCTTGGTTTTTTC